CCTGTACTTTAGCACGCTGTTCAGGGGCCTGGAAACCTCCCAGCCCAGTCTACTGCTGTTGGAACCTGAATATTCCTCCTGGGTCTGAGATTTGGTCAGCCCAACCTGCCAAAGTTATCACAGGTGGCACCCACCAGAACACACCACCAGCAGCCCAACGGACTGGCACATCCACCCTGTTACAGCTACCACCAACACCAGAGTGGACCACTTGGGTTCCAGTGGGTAACTCCACCACTGCTACTGACGTCACCCACATCACATCAGCTGCCTGGAGGCTTGAGAACCTGACCACACACTCATCCCACTGCTGCCACCAGTATCTGAGCAAGCCACCTGGAGCCCAAGAATCACCCTGTCTGGACTCACTAACACTGGAGCTAGTGTAACCCACACTAGGCCAAGGACAAGCACACTCAGCTCACCACTGCCACCACTGGGGCCCAAAGACTGATCAAATCAGCATTCTTGTCCTCAGCAAAACTTTACCCTGCCCCCACCACTAGCAAAGATACCCAAAGCCACTGAGGAAATCACAAGTACAACTGACACTATTTACAGTCAAATAAATCACACGAAGATCACACTACTACATGTGGCCAAAATCAAAGCCAAAATGTCCAACCCAACCAACAACATATATACATCTTCAGGGAAAAGCTCTCTCCTACAAAAACCAATTTCAAAGAATTGAAAGAAGCAACCAGATTGGATGTTAGAAACTGAAAGTTATACCACATGCACAGATATCAACACAAGAAAACAGAAACATAAAACAACAAGGAAATATGATACTTCTAAAGAAACAAGATAAAGCATTCAAAATGTTGTTTTTAAAGAGGCTCAGTGAGATACAAGAGAATTTTGAAAAACAAAGAAATCAGAAAACCATTTTAGGATATGAATGAGAAATTTACCAAAGAGATACCCGATATTTTTTAAAAGAACCAAGTAGAAATTCTGAAACTCAAGAATTTATTGACCAAAATGCAAAACACATTTGATAGCTTCAACCATACACTAGATCACACAGAAGAAAGCATCTCAGGACTTGAAGACAGGTCTTTGAAATAATCCAGTGAGACAAAAATAAACAAAAAAGAATAGACAAAGCCTTCCTGACATTTGGGACAATATAATGCAATGAAACATTTGAATTATTAGTGTCCTTGAAGACACTAATGGGCTAGAAAACCTATTTAATGAATTATTAAATTGAAAACATCCCAAGTCTAGCAATAGACCTAGCCATCCAGATATAGGAGGCTCAAATATCCTTAAAAAAATACAATACAAAAAGATCTTTTCAATGGTATATTACAGTCAAACTACGTACTAAAGTAAAAATAAAAGAGAGAATACTAAGAACTGTAAGAGAAAAGCATTTGTGTATTTAGTCAGTTTATCTTAATTTAATCTGTTTTCTTTCAAAGCTATTACTGATATGCAAGGTTTTGTTACTGTCATAATGTTAATTGTTTTCTGGTCATTGCATGTGTGTGTGCGTGTGTGTGTGTGTGTGTCACATATATATGTCATTGTGGTTTGGTAGTATACTGTAGCATTTGAGTCATCTCTCTTCCTCATTTGTGTGTTTGGACCACAAAAAGATTCGGGGATGGAGGGATGGAGGTGGGCAAAGGTAAAATGCTACCTACTGGGGACTATGTTCACTATCTAAGTGATGAGATCATTAGAAGCTCAAACCTCAGCATCACGCAATATCTCTATGTTACAAAACTCTACATATGCCCCCTGAATCTACAATAAAATAAAAATAAAGCAGTCTCCCAACAAACGGAAGCCCAGAACTGGTCGAATTCACAGCCCAACCTTATCAATACCAATCCTCCAGAAACTATTCCAAAAAAAAAAAAAAAAAAAAAAAAGAAGAGGAGAGAACTCTCCCTAACTCATTTTACAAGGCCAGCACTACCCTGATACCAAAACCAAACAAAAGCACAATGAAAAGAAAACTATAGACAAATATTCATGATAAACATAAATGCAAAAATCCTTAACAAAATACTAGCAAACCAAATCCAACAGCACATCAAACAGATGAAACACCATGACCAGGTGGGATTTATATCAGGGTTATAAGGATAGTTTAACTTACGCAAAACAATAAACTGAATACATCACATCAACAGTATTAAGCAGAAATCTACATGATTATCTCAATAGATATAGAACAAGCATTTGATGAAATTCAACATAACTTCATGATGAAAACTCTCAACCAACTTGGAATAGAAGGAGCTGACCTCAAAGTAACAAAGGCCATATATGACAAAAGCACAGGTAACATCATAGTGAATGGAGGAAAAGCTAAAAGCCTTTCTTCTATGAACAAGATAAGGATGCCCATTTTTACAACTCCCATTCAATATAGCACTGGAAGTCTTAGCCAGAGCAATCAGATAAGATAAAGAAATAAAAGGCATTCAAATTGGCTAAGAACAAGCCATATTGCCCCTCTTTGCTGATAGTATGGTCTTATAGATAGAAAAAAACTAAAGAATCCACCAAAAAAAAACCTCCTAAATTTGATAAATAAGTTCAGTAAAGTTGCAGGATATAAAAAAAGTTAACATACAAAAATCAGGAGCATTTCTGCACAACAATAAAGAGTTAGAAGGCAAAGAAATCAATAAGGCAATCCCACTTACAACAGCTACAACAAAATAGCATACCTACAAACAAATTTAATGACAGAAGTGAAAGATCTGTATGAGGAAAACTACAAAATACTGATGAAAGAAAATGAAAAGGACAAGGATCAGAAATATTCATATCGTAAAAATAACCATAATGCCCGATACAATGCCTACCAAAATACCAATAACATTTTCAGCAGAACTAGAAAAAACAATCATAAAATTTGTATGGAACCGAAAAAGAGCCCAAATAGCTAAAGCAATTCTGAGCTTAAAAACAAAGCTGGAGGCATCACGTTACCTGACTTATAAACATATTACAATTCTATAGTAACCAAAACAGCATGACATTGGTATAAAAACAGACACCTACACAGACCAATGGAACAAAATACAGAGCCCAGTAATAAATCCACATTTTACAGCCAAATGATATTCAATAAAGGAATCAAGAACATATACTGGGAAAAGGAAATCTTCTTCAATAAATAGTGCTGGGAAAACTGGATCTCCATATGCAGAAAAATGAAACTGAATCTCTATCTCTCTTGCTATATAAAAATCAACTCAAGATGGATTAAAGACTTAAACATAAGACCCAAAACTATAAAACAACTAGAAAAGAACGTAGGGAAACATCTCAAGACATCAGTTAAAGCAGGCGTCCCCAAACTTTTTACACAGGGGGCCGGTTCACAGTCCCTCAGACCGTTGGAGGGCCGCCACATACTGTGCTCCTCTCACTGAGCACCAATGAAAGAGGTGCCCCTTCCTGAAGTGCGGCGGGGGGGGCCGGATAAATAGCCTCAGGGGGCCGCATGTGCCCACGGGCTGTAGTTTGGGGACGCCTGAGTTAAAGGAAGATTGCATGAGGAAGACCTCAAAACCACAGAAAACTACATTAATAATAGAAAAAATGAGGCTTTATTAAACTGAATGGCACCTGCACACAAAGGAAACAATAAATACAGTGAAGAAACAACCTGCTGAATGGAAGAAAATATTTGCAGACTATTCATTCAACAAGGGAATATCATTTAGAATATATAAGGAACTTAATAATTAAAAAAACAATCCCAAGAAAAAGTGGGCTAAGGACATAAACAGACACTTTCTCAAAAATAGACATACAAGTGGCCAACAGGTATATAAAAACGTGCTCAGCATCACTAAGTATCAAGGAAATGCAAAACCAAACCAGATGTCATCGTACCGCAGTTAGAATGGCTATCATTAAAAGAACAAAACGAAACAGATGCTGGCCAGGATGTGGAGAAAAGGAAACTCTTATTATACAATGTTGGTGGGAATAGAATTGGTACAACTGCTATGGAAAACAGTAGGGAGATTCCTCAAAAAACTAAAAACAGAACTACCTTAAGATTCAGCAATCCCATTATTAAGTATTTATTCAAAAGAAATGTGTATATTAAATAATTATCTGTACTTGCATGTTTATCACAGCACTATTCATAACAGTAAAGCTAGAGAATCAGCCTAAGTGTCCACTGATGGACAAATGGATATAGAAAATGTGGTATATACACACAATGGAATACTATTGAACCAAAAAAGAAGAAATAATATGGCTTGCAATAACATGGATGGAACTGGAGGTCATTATGTTAAGTGAAATAAGCCAGGCACAGAAAGACAGATGCTTCATATTATTACTAACATGGGAGCTTAAAAAAATCAATCTCATGGAGATAGAGGATAGAATAACAGACACCAGAGGCTGAGAAGAATGTATAGGTGGAAGGAGGAGATAAAGAGAGGTTGGTTAGTGGATGCAAACACACAGTTAGATTGAAAAAAGAAGCCCCAATATTCAATAGCAGATTAGGGTGACTATGGTCAGCAACAGTGTATTACGTATTTCAAAGTAGCTAGAAGAGATGATTTGAAACGTTACCAATGCATAGACACGATAAATGCGCAAGGTGATGGATGCCCCAAATACCCTGACTCAATCATTCCACATCCTATGCATGCAACAAATACATGTACCCCATAAATATGTAAAATATTTGCTATCAATACAATTTTTAAAAATAAAAATTTTAAAAATAAAATAAATTCTTCATTTTATGCTTTTCAATATTTTCCCAATTTTCTATGAGTATATATGACCCTTAATCAAAAAAAAAGACAATTTTCAAATAGCAAACATCTCCCATTTAAGAATGCTTCAGACTAACCAAGTAATTAAAATAAGCCTGAATGACAACTAAAATTATATTGTTGATTCTGGCACCTGCCACTTTCTTCAGGGCTAACTCCTGAGAGTCTTTCCAACATGAGTTTCATGGACATCTCAGCTTTGAACCAGGCACTTACCTGGGAAGGTGTTGTCACACTGATTTCTGGAACAAAGTTGTCCTCAAAGAAACTGATGATATTCTCCTGCTGCAGTTCCTTCGTCGGGGTGACTTTAGGTAGGGGTGGGACAGGAGGCCCTTTCCTTGTCTAGAACATATGAAATACAAACATTAATCCAGTCAAAGACATGAAGAGAATAAGCTACGTGGACAGATTGAGCTCTGATTGAAACTTACATCTGCGTATGGCAGCAAGCCTGCCTGGGTCAGGTAAAGAATGCTGTCTACTTCGGAGGCTCTCTGAGCCCTGATAATCCATGGTTCAAGGGAAAAAAACTGAGGTTATATGAGTCCATTCATCTCAATTCAAGTACACACAGCTGCAGGGCCAGGTACCTATACTTTTAAGGTTAAACTAGGCCAATACCCTCTTCTGTACTAAATTGAAAATAATTTCTCATTTCAGAAACAAATAAAAATTTCAAAACTAAAGCAAGCTTTTCATTTGAATTGGTGAAATAAACTATACACACTTACATTTCACTTTCCATTGAAGGATTTTGAAAAGTAAAAAAATATAAAGCTCTGTTTAATATATGTATCTTCCCAAGACTTTCCTTAGTTTAACTACATATAGATGGTCCTCGACATATGATGGTGCAACCTATGATTTTTTTTGGACTTCAGGAAAGTGTAAAAGCAATAGGCATTCAATAGAAAGTGTGAAGACACTCTCTCTTAAGGTGGGACAGTGTCAGTGAACCACAGTTCCCAGTTAGCCCTGTGATCACGAGGGTGAATGACTGATATCATGTTCTATGGTGTACTATAATCAGTAAATTTCACAAGATATTCAACACGATTATAAAATAGGCTTTGTGTTAGATAACTCTGTCTAACTTTAGGCTAAGGTAAGTGTTCTCAGCATATTTAAGGTAGGTTGGGCTAAGCCACGATGCTCAACAGGTTAGGTGTATTTAATGCATTTTAACTTATAGTACTTTCTACTTATGATGGGTTTATCAGGACCCAATCCCTTTTTAATGCAAGCGGCATCTGTATAAGGAAGTTTGAACTGGACTGGGGGCTTTATGTTTTTCTACAGAAATTTCATTTTCACCCATCATAGGGAGAATAAAGGTGGCAGTTTTTCTCTACAGTAATCTTTGCCCAGCCCTTATTTTTTATTTTCAACTATTTGTTCAATATAGTTTTATTAAGTGGCTATTCACATGCAAGTGTGTGTACCAAAAAATGTCCAGATGTACCAAAAAATGTTAAATGACATATAAACATACCTGCCAACTCTAAATCACCAGGAGAGGGAAGGTTTCATGCAGAGGTAGGATTTAAAAGGAGAATTGAAAGAAAAGGGTTTGGTATCAAGAGATGGGAGAATACAGAACATGCTATCCTGAGCATGCTGAGAATGTGGTAAGAAATCCCAAACGAATTGAATATAGGGCATAGGAGGAAATATCAAAAGTCAAATAAGAAAAGCAGGTGGATACTTTCATGACAATCACAATGCCTAAAGCCTCACACCTCGGTCTCCCTAACTGGAAACTTCTCTTAAAGCTCTGGCACTGTGGGATCATCCTAAATGGGGCCACCTCACCATGAGTTCTATCCCCCAATATATTTGACCTCCTCCTACCTGTGAAGGTGACCGAGGCCGTGCCGGTGCAGGAGACGCAGGTGCTAATGTATGATTTGGACTTGCTGTCGGGCTTGGGAGGGGTGAAGGCTCCTCAGGTGGTGATGGCGTCTTTGCAAGGCGGAGAGGACCCGAGTCACTAGAGGAACACAGGGGCTTAAGCAAGGGACCTTCTGAAGAACAGTACTCATCTGATCAACGGTTTTCTATCTCAGAGGAATCTTGAACCCTAACAGGTACTATCTGTCATCCTGCTCTCCCCTTCCAGGTTACTTCTGGTTAATCGCAACAGTGAAGATGATAACTGGGACCATTTATCTGCACTACGCAGACCTCATTCATATATTATCTCGTCTTCACAGTAGCCATGTTTTATTGTCCACACTTTACAAGTTGTAAAGTGGGGCATAGAGAGGTTAAAAATTAAAACCCTAAAATCACCCAGCAATTTAGTGAATCTGAATTCAGATCTTAATAATGCAAGACTTCTGTTCTTTCAAACAAGCTCTGCAAGAATCTTCCAAACATAAGCTGAATTGAATTTACTACTTTCGCTTTCTATTTACAAGAGAATCTTGCCATGTCACAATCTTTAAATTATCTACTCCGAAAATGGTAACTTTTATGTTAAAAGGCAGCCTTAGGATAGTGTTAGCAAGGATTTTGCAGAAGTACTTTCTGATGACACTTGGAAATAAATTCACTAATTATTTCTTTTACTAGACCTTATAAATAATTACTCAACTCGGACACTTTGAAATGTGCAAAAAAAAGAAAAATCGGACAAGATTCAGTTTTGTTTACTAAGAACCCACCATGTTCCCGGCAGGTGGACAGATGCTCGGGAACAGCCCAAATGTGATGACTAAGAAGCATTCAGGACATATCCTACTCTCTAAGAATTTCTAAAGTCTATAGCTCAAATAAACAGAGTTGTACCCCAATGTAAAAGAGCACATCTACATATACAGCAGCTGAGGGAACTGGGTCCTTTAGTGAGAACACAGACACGCCACATGATTGGGGTCATGTGCCAGCAATCATGGCCTCAGACAGAAACATAGCCCCAATCTAAGCTTAGTAGAGATGCCACTGAACTCACTCACCACCTCATTCTGCAGAGGAATGTCGAAAAAAATGAAAGGAACATTCATTAACTGGTCATGCCCCTGCTTTTTCTTCACTTTATCTGCTTCAGCAACATTGAAATTTTCAGATGACTTTGCCCCTTTTATTCCAACGTAAGGGAACAACTCTTAATTTTTTCATGCACTTCATTTTTAAAACACTCAAATGTCATTCTGACATTCCTATTCCAATTCTTCCTTTGTGCCTAGCCCCATACTGCAATAATCATACCGAAAACGGTAACTCTGCCACTCTTATATACTCTTTCAGGCAATATTTCTTACTCTTAGAAAGAGAAGATATACCTACTGATCACAGAGTATAGCAGGCGTCCCCAAACTTTTACACAGGGGGCCAGTTCACTGTCCCTCAGACCGTTGGAGGGCCACCACATACTGTGCTCCTCTCATTGACCACCAATGAAAGAGGTGCCCCTTCCTGAAGTGCGGTGGGGGGCCGGATAAATGGCCTCAGGGGGCCGCATGCAGCCCGCGGGCCTTAGTTTGGGGGTGCCTGGAGTATAGCAACAATAGCAGAACCTATAAGTAGGGCTAATCCAAAGAGCAGGAAATAAAATTAGCAATCTCTAGAGGGATCCGTGCGTTAACATAGGTAGAAGTTGGTTCATGTGTATGACTATGTATGTTTTCATAAATGTAGGCAAATACGTGTTTGTAGTAAAATGGCAAATATAGAATGTCAGGACTGCATATTACCTTGGAAACCATGTAGTTCAAAAGTATCTTTTTTTCCTATTGAATTAAAGAAAATGAGACCTTTAATCAGAGAGTTTGTGGACTTACTCAAGGAAGGCAAAGAAAGTTAACTGCAGAATCAGAAAACCAAAAGCTGGGTCTTCTGACTCCCAGCTCACTAGCCTGCATTCTCTGAGTACATAAAGTCTGCGAAAAATGAAATAAAAAGGATTCCAAAATCACCAGTGAAAGCTGGTATGCACCCAAACCCTGCCAAGGTAGCCAGTTCACCTATGGATTGTTGGGGATCCAGGGTGTTTGACTGGCATACTCATAACAGCAACGTGCAATAAAACAAAAACACCACAGTGTTCACCAGATCAAGAGTCAGGAGGTGAGATCTCACATACTTCCTCTTTCCTTTCCCAAAATAGATTCATAAAAGATGCCAGCATCAATGATAAAAATCAGGTCAAATTGTCATAAACTTTGGGAATTCCTTTCTTCTCCAAAGAAAATAATAAGTACATAGCAAATTATGAATTATAACAAACATACACATTATATATTAAAATTTCATACTGTTGTTATCAGACCTCAGGAAAAGCAGAGAGAGGCAGACAGTCAATGCTGTTGTGACAAGAAGAATCCTAGTTGGGCCAGAAGTAAATGTAAAAGCACAGAAATAAGATTAGTGTCAGCTTCTAGGGTGAAAAGGCTCCTCTGAGACTTTTGTAGGATGAATAAAATAGCACAGGCTGGTTCACAGACCGCGGAAATTTTAACAAGCAGTAGATTATGGCTGCTCTGATGAGCAGGGGCCTACCTGGGCGCTCCTTGGATAGTGAAGGCCTTGTCGGCATGCTGGTCACCCAGTTTTGTCATCACTTCATACAGCTTGTGGCAAAGCTAAAGGGACAGAGGCCACATGTCACCCTGGTACCAATTCAGTCTATTTTCCCCAAGAAAGAAATTACTTATTGAGAAACTATAAATTTTATGCTAGTTTGGATGGCCTCAGGATAACTGAAATTCTGTATATGGTTCAAATTTTAAATCTATGACAAAATGGAAACAAATTTAACATAAGTAAACTTAATATATATAATATAATATAATATATATATATATTAACCAGAGTACAGAGCAGAAAACAAAAGTTTATTGTTTACATTGGCCCCACCCTTTTGAACTAAAAAGAAAAAAAATCAATCAACAATAGAGTTGTTGATTTGAGACCAATTTTTCATTAGCCTAAAATATCACTTGGAACTCCAACTTTACAAACTGTCTAATAAAAGAAACAACACCGTAAAACTGTGGTAAAATCTTCAAAAAGTACAAAACCGGATAGGGATCCAGTTTCACTATGAAAAACTGTGGAAATGTTACTGAGGGTAACAACACACTACTAAAGAAACATGCAAAAGGCTGAATTCTTTACGCCATTTCATTTGCTTCCAAAATACACCTTCTTTTACTTTATATTCCATATGCAAAAATAATCATCATGACTCACCACCGCAATTTCCTTATGAAACTTGGCTTCAAGGCTAGAGACATTTTTGAAAGTATTAACATAAAATCCAACTCGTCTGCCATGTGGAAATACAAAGAGGAAATGAGAGAGGGAAAGACCAGTCAGCAAAAATAATTTTAATAGCAATGAAATGTATGAAAACCCAGGTTTCTTTCATACCATTTTGAATAACTTTGGAATAAATAAAATACTGAACCCAAAGCAAGCCCATTTCCTCATCTGTTAATGAACAAAAACAAGTATCTTTCGGCATAAGCACGACCTCTCCTAAATTCAGTTACCAAATTAAGACAGTGATTCACAAACCTTAGTGTGCAGGAGAACCACCTAGAGGGTGTGTTTCTGATCCAGTAGGTCTGAGCATGGAGACTGAGAATTTGTATTTCTGAGTTTCTAGATAACTGATGCTGCTGATTCAGAGACAACAATTATGGAACTACTACCCTGAGAACCTGTTTATATTTTACATGTTTCTTGCTATGGTTTAAAGACTTGAGAAGGTCATTATTAATTTTACAAACTCTAAATGGTTTAGTTATTATTATGTGTTGGGACTCTGAAATTTGTTTGATAGAGGGAAATACATAACCCATAAATTAATTCTAATTGTTCACCAAAAGCGAGAGCATGCCATCACTGAGTAAATGAAAACATAAGCTGCCCATTCACAATAGCAATGAGATTAACTTCTTCTATGGTTTATCTTTACTTAAAATTCCTAACATGTTTGACTTACTCTTAATTTTCTATACCTACAGTGATCATGTGATCCTGATTTCATATATTTTTCTTCTAATTGATTTTAAAAGATCATATACCTATTCATACATTCATGTATATATATATATATATATATATATATATATATATATATATTCATATGCATACAAATACTCATGCATATAGGCATCTATGCAATAATAAAAAACTCCACAGTGTGTTTGGGAAATGCTAAGCACCCAGGAAGATCAGATCAGAGCCTGGAAGAGGAAAGCCTGGTGAGGAAGCAGATGGTTCTCTGGGGTAGAGGTCCTTGTCAGACCATGAAGCACAACATTTACTGGCAGGCAATGGGCAGCCCCTAGATGTGTTTGAGATAGGGCAAAGGAGAAGACTTGCACCTGTATTTGAGGAAGCTAATTAAGGCAGGAGCTGGATGACCAAGGGGAGACCCTACCTGCTACCTGACATTATGCAGAGGGACCCCACTTGCAGCGTTTGCAGAGAAGTCCTCTGGGGCACTTTGAGTGGCAACTTATGACCCCTTCTCTAGAGCCCCAATCAACTGGGATGGTAAGTCTTAATACCTTTCTTTCTTCAATTGCTCAACAAAGGACCTATCCAACTCTGCGTACATGCATAGTGGAAGGCGAATATGTCTCTAGGAATGTACAATCCAGTTAGAGAAGCACCCAGAGGGGCTAAGTGATGAATATATGCTCTATTCATACTTAGGATGGAAATATATATTTATATTAAGAGAAATGTATATATTTACATAGGATAAATACATATGATAAGCAGATTAAATATATATAAGAAATAAAACCACATGGGCAAATTAAGTTACCACAAAAAGGCATATATTGATGAAATATCAAAAGTGAGTGGATATGGGCAGAAACAGTTATAGAAACTGAGAGGACAGGAGAGCAATGGGCCCTGTGCCAGCTGCAAACATCAGCTTAAGAGGACAAACTTGGGCTGCAGAAAGAGGGTTCCAATGTAAATAGAAGGTGGGTACAGATGGAAGAGATGTGTAAGTTCAACTTCACTGGAGAATATTATTTTCTTTTTATTAATTTTTTCTTTGCTAAATAAAATGCTAATGAATATCTATGATTAAGGTATTGCACACAGCTTAATCATTTCCTTAGAACAGATTTCTTGAAGGTATTTGCTGATAAAAGGAATGAACCAAATAAGCATTGATATTCACTGTCAAACTGCTCAACTGTTCCCACCAGACTGGGCCACTTACAGTCCCTTAAATATTACCTTATATACAAGATAATTGAACATTGCCTTACATACAACCTCTGTAAGTATGTTAGCCAAGAGTTAGCATCTTACTGACTTTTAAGTTTATATTTCCTTAATTAAAGTTAACACTTTTTATTCATTTATTTATTGCTCATTTGCATTTCTTTTTTTTGTGAATCACCTATTCAAATTTTTTGGTTATTTCTTAGTATTGCTTTTCTTTTCAATGTGTAATGGTACTTCTATTAAACATATTGAACTTTGAATGCGTTAAGCCAAAACAAAAAAGAAGTCCCAATCTTCCACATTTCAATATTTTTTTCTGATATACAGCATAAGTTGTCAAGTCAATTATTATCCTGAGAAACTGGTATGGTATCAGAAATATAACTAAACAAACATCTATACTTTTCTAATATTTTGTTTTTTTAATGTAGAACTTAAATTAACTAGCGTATATTTAATTAGGATAAAATGTCCAATTTTTGATACAATTGTTAAAACATGTGCGCTGAATTGACTCAGAGGCCTAACAATAACTGAGTATTTTCTCCAGTTTATGAAGTCAGAGATCCTGCAAAGAGGGGGATGCCTTTAATGAGTTCACTATGACAGCTGCAGCACCTAGTATACAGCAGGCATGAATAAATGAATACATTCCATAAATAAATAAACAAGCCAGTGAATGAATAAACTTGGCACTCATTCCACTATGAGAGCATATTCTGATGTGACCCTGGCTTGTTAAAAACTAATGTCATCAGCAGTAGAATATACAGACACAGAGTACCAGGCTCTTGCTTCTGACATTACCTGCTTAAAAGTTTCATTTTGAAAGTTCTTTGTAACAAGAGACCTGAGATATCACCATTTCTCCAAATGTGGCATCCTCAGGCCCCTTCTGATTGGCTGTCAAAGCTAACTTAATTTCTTAAGATGTTTCTTTGTTCTCAGAAATGAAGGAACAATTAATAGTTGAGCTTATCACAGCTACAGTTTGCAGGTTTGAGCACCCTCCCCTCCGCAATGCCCTAAGGAAATCTGTCTCCTCCCCGGAGGAGTGTCAGTGCTTCCCCCAGAGCCTCTTGGAGTGGAGGAAGCATCCCCTGCTGTCCCTCACTTACCATGGAGATGGGGTATGAGGAAGAGTTTTTTCCTAGCTCTCTTTTGATCCTCTGAGCTCATTTACACTCCATTCTGCTATTAATGGCACTGATTTTCAACCTCTTTAAACCTTAATATCAACCTCTGAGCAACACTCCTCAACCCCAACCATGATCCACAATGGCATGTCTCATGGGTTCCCCTCTCTCCCTCACCAAATCCTAACACTAACACTGTAGATCTCAACAACCATATTACTATCCAGCCAAAACATGAGTCCTCTAATGAGTGACCCCAGCATCCTATTTATACACATTCTGTATTGGCCATTGACATCTTGGATCTTGCCATGACTCACAACTATTTCACATCTGAGATGAGGCAGACCAGTGGCCCACCCACTAACCTAATTTCCTAGCCCACGAGCTCCCTCATTCATTCATTTCCATTCCATTTGCTTTTTAAAAACTTCTGTAAGATCAATGCCCTTTTCTTTCAGGCCAAAACCCGTGCTCAGGTTGAGCATCCTATTTTATCAAACTTGGGCCCTTTGGTGTACCCCTCAACACTCTCTGACCAGTCCTATCAACACCCTTTCTCCTTGTCCTGACCCCCTATTTGCCCCACATAGCCTCAGTCCTAAATTATTCCACCTTTGTCACAGCTATGCCATCTTCTCAAAATGACAAGAGTTATTTTTAAAAAGCTTCGCTTGCTCTATAATTTCCCTATACCTGCTGCCACAATTCCTCAGGCCCATCATAGTTAGAATCCTCAAAATTACAGACACCATCACCTGCTGCTGCTGCTTCTTCTTCAATGGAGTCTCCAATGCCCATAATCAAGCTTCTGATCCCAACATCTACTGAAACTTTTCTGGAAGTTTACCAAAGGTGATGCCTCTTTAATCCTCACCTGCTTGATGCCTCTATTGTAAATAACAGTCCTGGCATTTTAAAAACTCTCTCCATTCCTGCCTTTGAGATATCATTCTGTCATGGCTCCTTCTAAAATTCTGATTAATTTTTGAAGGCTTTTCCGCAGTCCCCTCTTCTTTTGCAATTTCCATAAAATACTGGCACTCTCAAAGGTTCTGTCTTTGATCCTCACCTTGCCATTTGATCTATCTGACCATCTACCTCATCAACTCTCATGGCATCATTACCACACATATGGTAATGACTCCCAACTCTCTCTTCAAGCTTTAGACTTAGCTTAATAGACATATGTTTTGGATTTCCTAACGATTCTTCAACTCAGCATATATCAGCCAGACTCAATTTTCCTAAAACTTTCTTTTCTTTATATGTTATCTATCTCTTTGGGAGATGACTTCCCTAAACATCCAAACAACAGTCTGAGTTACCCCATCTCATGTCACTCTCTACTAAATTATTCTTTTCTAAAAAAATTCTGCATTGAACTTACTGTCTGATATCTTCTTTTTCATTTCTTCTAAAGGTAACTGCCTTACCCTGTACTTCAATAAAGCAAACAAAACTTTCAGTATAAGATCTTTAGCATATAACAGAGTTTTTCACACAGAGTAGGTGGTCAGTAAATATTTGCTGAATGAATGATAAATTTATCTGCTCTCTGTCTTTCTCCTGCTTCATTACCACAAGCCCTTCCCAGACACTATCACTCTGACCTTGAGCTACATTAGACTAATTAAAGTTCCATGAAACCACATATCTGCTTCAATCCACAGGCCTTTATTCATGCTCTATGTCAGCCTAGACTATCCTTTCCACTAAATGCTGTCTTTATTTTATAAGATTTACCTCAAGAATTCTCTTTAGAGTCCGTTTTTCTTTGTAATACCAGTTTATCACCTTTTTATAATCTATAAACTCCTTTACAAGATACAATCATATTCTAGTATTTCCTTTTTTAAAATTGAACCTGCATTCCCTTCTAAGTAGTAGTTCATTTCTACTTCATGAACTACTAATTTTTGAAGATCAGTTTAAATGCAAAATTTTTAAAGTTTTCTACACATAGCAGTAATAGAGGAATAGGGAAACACAAAAGACATAAAGCACACAAAGCAATTGCAAAACAGTAGACAGGAAGCCTACATTATTGGCAATTATACAAAGGTAAATGGACTGAGCACAGCAATCAAAAGGCACCGGCTAGCAGAATAGATAAAACATGCATACGTGTGAACACACAAATGATCCAACTAAATACTGTTTACAAGAGACACACTTTAGATTCAAGGTAGAAAGTTTAAAAATGGAAAAAAATATTCCATGCAAAGAATAATGAAAAGAGAGCTTGAATGGCTATAGTAATATCAAATAAACAGACAAAATTATTAGAGACAAAGGACAGTTTATAAAGATAAAACAGTCAATCCATCAAGAAGATATACCAATTATAAACATACATATATATATATATATATATAACTAACAACAGAGCCCTAACATACATGAAGCAAAAGCTCACAGAAATGAAGACAGAAATAAGTCCAATAATGGTAGGAAACTTCAATATCCTCCTTTCAACAAGGCAGAAGACAGTAAGGAAATAAAAAACTTGAACAACATATAGTCTATCCAAACCTAACAAACATATATGGAATAGTCCACTCAACATTCTGAGTGATTACGAATAGTTTGATGCAGGTTTTCATGTATTAATAACTGATATGTAATATGTTTATTACTGCATGCCCAGTATTATGCATTGCATCATAGAAGGCAAAGAAGATACAAAATACTAACTTCAATTTCAAGGCAGAGTAATATGGCTTCTTAAAAAATATATATATTCATGAAATAACTTGAAAAATTATGACTGCATACAATCTCATTTTAGATAAAGAGATGCCCTAGTAAAAAGCAGCAGGATTTACAGGAAAACAAAACAAACCACCCAAGTGTTTTTAAATGCTACCTTAAGGGTTTACAAGCTTAACAATCTTAGGCAAGGTATTTAATTAATATGATCTTTAGCTTCTCTTCTGTAAAATGGAGAGATCTGTAATTGTAATAATTAGAGGTTGTATATTTAAAGTATGTAAAATGACACCTAGCAAATAGAAAGTATTCCAAAAAATGATCTTTCATATATAGCACACACAATGCACACAATTATTATGGTTGAGTAATCTGGATTTCATCAAGAAACATGCTACATAGAAAGGAAGGCGTAAGTCAGGTTTTAATCAAGAGGCGGGATCTGGATGGAAAAACTAGTTTTTCCTAAGTGCCAGAATTGAAACACTTATACTGTATATGACTAGAAAAGTGGAAAGGTTTCTTTCCAAAATTATCCTTCAAATATTCCCTTTGTTTTTAAGTCCCTACACAGTCTTTCGTGTTACAAGACATTCCGACAATTGCTTTATTTTGAATAACAAAATACAATATAGGAAGGGCACAAAAGCCTGAAATAACATCAATGCTAGTTTTAGATGCTTAGTAGAACTCACTAGAGAAAAAAAACTTAGTTACATACCCAATAAATATTAAGGCAAATAATAAATGTCTGTCTCTTGGCAATTCAATTTCCCCAAAGTTTCATAATTGGCAACTGGCAGTTTCCCAGGGGTATTATTTCATAATTGAAAGCCTTGAACACTGTGGTACCCAAGCCTTTTTGAAGATCAATTTAAAAAGCAATTAAGCAATTACATTAGAGATCATTAAAAAAATTCCTTTACAAGGGAAATAAAAAGAATAACTTTCTTAATTGTATGTAAATGACAACTTATATTTGGAACTAAATATCTGTTGAAGATGGTAATAAGCTCTGGAGAAATACTGGTTGAGGTGATGAGTCTCTCAAGTGAGGACAAAAACACTGATGCTAAATATATATGTAAAGATTTTAGATAAAAGTATTCCATGAAATGTGGGAGCAAAAAAGTAGTATCTGTATTTCTTTTAAAAACCCATAGCATCATACAATTTGTGATTTTAAATAAATGTTAAAAACCAAATAAATTCAAATCATAAATAAATGTTTGTTTTTTCTCTATCCCTAAAAGTTACATATATTAAGGCTATTTAAATCCTCTCTGGGAGAAAGAAGAGATCTTCTTTAGGCACCTACAGTGAGGTCCTAAGCAGGCCACAGACATATCAACATAGAGCTTCTGAAAGAAAAGGTGTTCAGGAAGAAGTCAAAGAAAGAAATGTAAGGGCAAGACTACCATCATAATCCACAACAGGATGATGAGGTTTAGGGTGGGGATAGTGGGACCAGAGAAGGATGGAGCAATCCAGAAGCCCACACCAAAAAGTAATGGATTGTTTAATTTGATGGCTCTTTGGTTTCCTGTAGGTAAGAATTCCAAAACTTTGAGCCTTGGGAGTCCAGAAATAGTGGCACCACCAAAAGAAATGCAGACATAGAGAAAATGAGTAAATAGAGATAAGCAATGACATAATTTTGCATGTTGGACTTTGGGTGATGGCTGGACATTGACATAAAAAGTAGCCAACATTTCATCCAGATATTTCAGTAGTTCAGAGAGACACATTGAGTGCCTTTTATTGGCAAACATTAAAAACACTAGAGATGGACACCAAAATGGGCACACTCTAGTACAGACCCTCAAAACACTTAAAATTTTGGTGGGTAAATAGAAGTCCTAGAATTTGTATATAGGAAGGCTTTAAAGGTAAATCCATCTAGTTGGAAGTTAGAAATAGAGGACCTGATTTAAAATAATGTCATATTATTTTAAGTACAATTCTAGTTAATTTGGGGTGAGAGCATGAGGATGCTGATAGAGATTGAGACTCATAAGGTCCTACTTCATCCAACAACTCCTTTGTTCTACCACTGAGTGGGAAAAATAGAACAACTATTTAAAAATACACTTAATTCCATGAGAAATGCAGAATTACATATAAATAAGAAGAATGTCTAGTGCCTAAAATAGAAACTGAGTTCAGATTTAAAACTCAGGGCTGAGTTTTAAGCCAGATGACTAGATGAGCTGTTGGAATAAAGGAAGTTCCTCTAAGAGCTCAAAGGATATTATTGTAAGTTTCAAGATGAAGGGCAGTCCTCCTAATGTCTCTAACTGAGATTTAGGTCTCCACTTGAGAAACAGAGTAAGATCTAAAATTGTGCCATCCTATATGGAAGCTGCTAGCCACATGTGGTTATTTAAACATAAAGAAATTAAAATAAAACAAGTTTAAAATTTAGTTCCTCCCTTTTCATCCTGGCCATATTCCAAGTGATCAATAGCCACAGGCAACAAATAGCTACCGTATTATAAAGTACAGATAAAGAACACTTCCATTGGACAGTGTTGAAGTGTCACAGATAATAAAGACAAGATAAGGGATATTCATTGATCTTGAATTTCTAAAAGGAACATGTACAATCTGTAAAGAAACATTTTTACCTTGACCATAATGATGGTAACTCTTCTTGTAAGTCAACATTAAACTCTTCAAACACTTTCTGTGCTTTCTGAAATTCCTCTTCTGCCTAGAAATGAAACATGACATGTGTTTACACTAAGAAAGACCATTTCTATACACAACAGCACCATTTAATATAAAATGAGAATAGTTTACGGCATTTTAAAACATTTTGAGAAGAAGAGTATTTGGTTAAAATTATACCCTTGTTTTTCAAACAAGAAACACTAGGACTCCCTAAAACTGGAAACTGGATTGATTACAATGGTTGTTCTTGCAGCTTTTGGCTGATTCATTTATTCTACACAAATATGTTAGCTGCCTGCCATGTAGACAGCGCTGCTATGGATACTGAACATGAACGCATCCCTGAGAAATTTCCAGTCTATTGGAAAGTCTAAATAATTACATTACAGGATGTATTACAGGGACTTACAGTGTGTTACAGAGTATGCTATATGGAAGGTGGTGCAGAGAAGAGAGAAGGTAATTTTTAACTGAATCCTAAAGAATTAGAAAATGTTTGCTAAAAGAGAGGGTAGGAAATACATTACAGTACATTAAGGTGGAATGCCTTGAAATGGAATTCCAGCTTACCATGTAAACCTGTCAGACTACTTTACCTCTCTGTACCACACAGTTTGTTTTGAGTATTAAGGAAAGTTAATGTAGATGAAGTGTTAAACAGGGTGCCTGGTATCTAGGAGGCCTCTCATGAAGGGCATTTGTTATTGTGACCTGCTCAGAAACTGATGTGTAGCTCTGGCTTATGCTATGCTTGTAGAAGGAGCATAAGGGAAGGGAAAAGAGACTTGAAAGTTGATCAGGATGGATCAGGTGAGTTACAGCCAAATTATGTAACAGATGAGTTACAGCCAGATTGTGTGGGTCTTCCATGCTGTACTAACAAATTTAGTATTTTTTGTAGAGGCAATAGAAACCATTAAAAGATGTAAGCAGTCAAGAAACACAGCTAGATGTAGAAGACCATTCAGGAAGCTGTGGGTAGGCACAGAGGAAAAGGCAAGATCAGAAGAAGAGAGCGTAGTTAGGAAGTGACTTCAGTTAGTAAGCATTGGTAACTTGCTGACATACATGGTGAAAGCTACTAAAAATAAGTTTTCTAACAAAAAATTAGTTTTATGCAAATATATACATCTGTACTCTCAATCAAGTCACCTCTGAGAATTTCAGCGTGGTGTCCCATCTGCATCTGCATTTCAGTACAGAGGGTGGACCACAACTACCTAAGGAAGTGCAAACACACGACTTTCTTTGATCCTGCAACATTGTAGGTCAAAGTTCATTCTGACGAAAACGTGTGAGTCAGTGTCACCCATATGAACTGTATAATATCATGAAACACATTATTTTAATTAAAAATAATAAAAAAAACACTATGTTTTAGTTTAAATTCTGTTCAGAATCCAATTTCCTTTTGCAGAGGAAACAATTTTAAAAAGCAAAGCTGCAACGGATCATAAAATACGGTGAGTGGTATTCACCATGGACTCAATCCCTACCTTAGAGATTCGACTCTCATCCTTTCTCTTGGAGCTCTGCAGAGCTTCCAGATGGTGGCGGGCACTGTCGTAGTCCACCAGCTTCCTGCTACGCTTGGCGATGCGATTCTGTCAACAGGAAATGCATGCACTAAGAAAGAAGCATGGCCATAGAGTCTCCCTTTGACATCCAGATGCCAAAATGCTTCCCTTGCCCAGAGCTGCTGAGGATCTTGACTGGAGATGCTCAAGGTGAGCTGGAATTTCAGTAGCTAAGTGACTCCTGACAATCAGAGGACAGCCTCCAATCCTTTGTGTGGAAGCCATTAGATAAATATCTTCCCTTTTGATACTAATTAGATTAGTCATGAGGAGTTGAGGGCAGAGTTTGCAGTCAAAGACCAGAAAAATTCCAGAACTAGGAAGAGAAGGAAAAACTATACTCCTCACTATTCTCTATTCTAAATGTTGAAATGTTCTATTCTGAAGATAGTGGAAAGCTATGTTACATTCAGTTTTATAATTCTAATAACACTCACACCAACAGCAATTCTATAAAAACACATTTACTATTTACTTCCTAAGAATTCTCTTCTTCTATAAGTGCTTCTCAGTCCTTCGTTCAGTAGAATCACTTGGACTAATGTGTCATTTGGAATAGCTGGTAGCCAAAGACACAGAGGGGATTGCGCTAATGGGCAAGGCTTTTCCCATGGGTCAACATTGGAAGCCATGAGAAAGTCTGGGAACAAGACATTCCCTTGCAGTGCAGATGAGAATGAGGTGATATATGGTTGCCAGGGTATAGGCATAAAGCCCCTCTCATTTCCATAAAACATTTTCTCTTAACAACCACCACCACAACAACAACAAAAAGCTTTAAGCTGCCAAAGGAGGAGCTTGCCCACAGGTGCTAAGCAAAGATCTACTGCTTCTGAAGAAGCAGTAAAAGTAAAACCAGTGTGGCTCTGGTAGAGAGACACAGAGCCTTCTGACTTCCAGATTTTAGGCAAAAATAATTACTGTAAGCAAAAGGGTAAAGGAAAAAGTCTCAAGGGGCATAAAAGCTTCCTACGCCCAAGACCTGACTCCTATAACAAGTAATGGACTGTTCAAACTTGGGCAGGGATGGAAACTCTTGTTCAAGATCAACCACAGACATGAGGCCAACTTTGCCTAATACATGGCCAGGAAAGGATTAAAAAACAAAACAAAACAACAACAATAGCAAAAACAGCCCTAACTCCACTACAAGCCTAACACTAAAAAACAAGCAACAGTGGCCTACCACTGGAAGAGGACAGTGCAAGGAGAGAGATCCCTTCTGCAACACAGGCATACAAAGACAACTAAAATCTAATAAGCAGCAGCGACACTGAGAAAAACCCTCCAGCACCTAAGGGCCCCAAAACAAGACTTCAGCCTAAGAATCTGAAAATTTTACAGATGTTAAAATACAAGTACAAGGCATTAGCAGTCCAATTCTGGAGGCATTTGAAAGCTACAATGCAATGAAGTAACAAACAGCAACAATAAAGCCCCAGTCCAGCTCAGGGCCTGATTAATGGATTCCAACTCTCACATTAAGGGCCTGAAAAAGAGCCTGGCCAATTTCCAGACATAAATATTATTTCAGTCCTCACTATCCTATACATGAAGTCTGGCATTCAATCAAAAATTACAAAATACACAAAACCAAAATAAACAACAAAAAATACACATGAAGAAACAAAATACATAAACCCATGAGAAAAGATAAAGCAAACAAAGACAGACTTGGACATGACCCACATGTTGGAAGTAACAAACAGAAATTTCAAAATAACTATGATTAATATGTTAAAGCATCTAGTTTGAAAAAGTCAACAATATATACAATCAGATTTCAGTAGAGATATACAAACTTTAATGGAAAAACAGAAATCAAATGGAAACACTTGAAATTTTAAAGATGATCTCAGAGATGAAAAACTGATTCAGTGGACCCATCACTAAATTCAAAAAAGGTTAGGAAATAGTGCACTTGAAGATAGGTCACAATAAATTACTCCCATTAAAACACAAGAGAAAACAATTGTAGAAAAATAAAACAGATAATTGAGTATCTAAGACCTACAATGCAATGTAAAATGGTCTCACATACTATAATTGAAGTCTCAAAAAGACATGAGAAAATAAGAAACAATATTTCAAGAGATAATGGCTGAAAATATTTTTAAATAATGAAGACATCAAAGTTTAGATGCAAGAAACTCAGAGAATCCCAAAAAGGAAAAACATCAAACAATACACATCTAAAAACATGATAGACTACTTAACATCAAGAATAAAAGAAAAACAAAGTAAAAAGGTTAAGAATTACAGGATGCTAATCTTCAGAAAACACACAAGCCAGAACACATTGGATGACATATTTACAGTACTGAAAAATAAAAATTAAAAGAAATCTGCCAACTCAGAATTCCACACCCAGTTAAAATATCTTACAAAGGTGAAGGTGAAATAAAGTTTTTTTTTTTTTTTTCAAGACAACTAAAGGCTGAGGCAATTCATTGGCAGTATAAGAATTTTAATATGAAATGGAGCCACACAGAAAAATGAGTACCAGAAATGATAAAAATCAATGTAAAATATACAAGATTTTGTTTTCCTACTTTTAATTGCTTGGGAAGGTAACAGATCATTCAGAGGAAAAAACCACAACTAATGTATTGTGGGGTTTATAACATATGTAAAAGAAAAATTACATTTTTATGTTATGGTGCAAAAGGAGGTAGGAACTGAAAGTATATTGTTGTATAGTTCTTAAATAATACATGAAGTAGTACACATTATTTCAAGTCAGACCTAATATGTTAAAGATGTATATTATACATGGTAAGGCAGCAAATAAGAAATAAGTTAATAAAGTATCTATGTGCCCCATAAATATAAACAATTATTATATGTCAATTAAATAAAATTATACATCAAATAAATGAGAAAATGTAAAAATAAGTATAACTAATAAGGAAATAGTATAAAATATACTGATTCCTGAGACCCACACTAAGAGATTCTGATTTTATTAGTCTGAGGCAAGGCATAGATATCTACACTTTTTAAAAAAATCTTCCCTATAGTTCCAGTTATGCCCAGCTATTTGAATAAAAAGAACTAATCCAGGAGGAGATGCTTTAAAAACTGTGAAATTTGATATGGTAGAAAGAAGAAGAAACAAAATAATAATATAAATGACTATGGCTTACAAGGCATTGTCACATCCAGTGGATCCTTCTAGCAACCTATAGAATGAATGTTTCAGGGATTATCTCCATTTTACTTTTAGGAAATGTGGAGCTGGATGAGATTGCCTCTAACATCTCCCAAACTGCTCAGCAAGTCTGTGGCAAAAGTGAACTGAATTAGAAATTAGCCCCAGTGACCAGTGCCAGGAGTAGGGTGAGGCAGGTGAGACAGAGCAGAAAATTTAAGAAGGCCCTTTCCTCTCAGGGTCATGTGAGTGCAGGGTTAGCAACTGCCTCCTAATTTGTACCATGGGTACTTTGCTGGCCTCACCCAGTTCCATCCCTGCTTCTGAGTCTTGGTTAGTGCTCCTTCCAAACAGCTCTTGCCGTTTCTCTGACAGACTTTATGAGTCAACTACAACCTGTCACTCCACGCTATTCTTCTGCATGCCCATCAGGACTGGTGAGAGGTGGGCTGGGACAGTTAAACTCTTTGGCTATTTCTAATTGCTTTCATTTTCCCTGCACCGACCACTTCCAACTAGTATATGGGCAGAAAGCATGGAGACACACACCTTGTCACTCAAAGTATCTAACGAGTTAGCCCAGGCAGAGTAGAGTGAAAAGCTTCAGGTAGATACGGTGAACACTATGTGCCTACAAAGTGACAAGGCTCATTATTTTTGCAAAAATCTGTTACCTTAAAAAAAGGCCTATCCCTTGAAGCAGTGGCCTGTGTAACTATATGCAAACTCTTATAAGAAGCTCTTCCTTATGGACTTGCCTTCTAGCCTGGGACATTCCTTTAATAAATCTTCCAAGTAGAAAATCTTGATTCTCTGAAGATGAATTTGATTTTTGAAAGCAGCTATAATTCAATAAATTTTAAGGCTTAGAATAAGGTGGGAGAGTGTGCTGGGTAATTGGGTAATCTTATTTTTGTTCAAAAATAGGAAATGAAGTAAATAATTTGACTCATTTTCTTTTTTTCTTTTCTTTTTTTTTGGGGGGGGGAGGGAGTTTCACATTCTTGTCACCCAGGCTAGAGTGCAATGGCACAGTCTTGGCTCACTTCAACCTCTGCTTCCTGGGTTCAAGCAATTCTCCTGCCTCAGCCTCCAGAGTAGCTGGAATTACTGGCATGCACCACCATGCCCAGCTATTTTTTTGTTTGCATTATTAGTAGAGACAAGGTTTTACCACGTTGGCCAGGTTGGTCTCAAACTCCTGATCTCAGGTGATTCACCTGCCTTGGCCTCTGAAAGTGCTGGGATTACAGACATGAGCCACTGCATCTGGCTGGCTCATTTTCTTATGTAATATTTAAGTCAATTATAAACGATAGCTTACCACAGCAGAAGTGACTATTTTGAAGAATATCACTCATTCTGATGCATACATTTTGGGGTTAGAAAAGACAAATCCATCTTATTTCCTTACCTATCTGATATTTGGGAAACTTGGGGGGGAAAACTCAAATCTCCTAAATAACGGTAAGGTTGACACACATTAGCTTTTTTATAGAAAATTATATAATTCTTATTTAATCATCCAATAAGAAATTTAATTAAATTACATTATAAATTTAACTAACATTTCTTGAAAAAATAAATTCTTGAGATTTCTCATTGTGCACTGAACCTTTAGAGTTAAAAATATTTTATTATACATTTTTAAAAAATTCCATAATAATCTCAATTTGAAATTCATTTTGGCACATTGCAGTAAATACATGCTTAGTTGCTTATGCATGGCAGCCAAGATAGAATCCAAACTATATTTTACAATAACTGCTCACAGCTGTAAGCCTGCCTGGCTTGGTGACAAGCATGCTCTTATTGTAACATTGATTTCAGATGTCAATGATGCAAAACAGAAACTGTTAACACAGAGTATCCTGCC